GAAAAAGGCCAAGTAATTAACTTACAATTTGTGGCTCTTTTTATTTATATGTATTTTCTACACATAATGCCACAAAAACTGACAGATATAAGCACAAAAAACACAAGCTCTAATGGTGCCCAGGTAACTTTTCTTTAATCTTCTCCACGAAACTTTTCTTCTCATGTCCGTTATGGTGCTGGTCCGCAGTATGACCTTCGGCAGTCGAGTTTGCAGTCATGGTGATGTTGGCGGTATCGGAATTGGACTGCTTCTCATCCCCATTCTTCCCTGTTAATTTCTCCTTTATTTTCTGCTTCAGACCTTTCTTCTTCCTCCCCCCACCTTGCCCATCATCCTCAGACTACAAACAAAGAAACCCAAAGTGGAAAACAAATTAAATCAATAAAAACTGAAAAAAACCTAGCTATATATAGGTAAAGACGGTGGTTGCACCCAGAGCTCATGATCACAACTAACTACAAGTTTTACGGTTTGTGTAAAGCAGACCGCACAGCACATTTTTCACATTTGAAAGATATAATTGATTAAAAATGATCTCACCGAGCTAGAACTGGAGCTGGAAGACCGTTGAATCTCTCTGTGTCCTTCCGGTTGATGTTGATTTGTAGTATAGCTAGTAGGTACAGCACCATACATGCCCTGTCCTGACATTATCCCACAGGCCATTACACCAACGTCATGTACACCGGTACTACCAGTCGTTATTCGGGAACCAGGTGCACCACCATTAGTGGTCCCATTATAACCAACGTCTTGGGTGCCAGTACAGTACTAGTAGTCGTTATTCCGAAACCAGGTGCTGTACCATAGAGGGTATCCGTCTTTACTACAGAACGAGCTGCGCCACCATGGGCAATGGTCCCAACAGTCTTCCCTGGCGAGGTGGCTATACCATAGAGTTGCATGGGGTTACCATGTTCATCGGTCAGCCGCACCGGATTGCCGTATTCGTCTGTGAGCTGAACAGGGTTGCCATGTTCATCAGTCAAATCAGCCATAGAAATCAAAGACTCAAAAGGAAGCAAGTTTTTATGGTAGTGGAGAAACAGGAAATGTTTAGACTGGGAGACTGGGAAAAAGGTGGTCCAATTTAATGGAAAATGAGAAATTAATGGCGGTTTTCGCATGTAAATGGGTATTTTACACATGGCTGGAGGATTGTAGACCAGAGATCAAGTGCTTGCCACGTCAGAGAAATTTTGAGGACACGCGGATGCATATGAGGATGACAAATGGGTTTGAGATGAGATGAGGATGATGATTCGATCTGTTAGTAAGATCCAAAGAATTCGTAAAATGATGAAACAGGTGAACATCAATATGGACCGTACAATATGGAAAGATTATGTTGTGTCTCATATTTCTGTCTTCGTATCTATATCCAAATGTCACAGTTATCTCAAACCATAAAAAATTAAAACCTCAAAATCCTCTATAGTTTGCATTGAAATGTAAAATCTCTATAAAAATGTTTAATTAAGGTGTCTAAGAATACCATGGGTATTCTTACATGTATCTCGAGATACGAGACTTTTACATAAGAGATACCTCTTCCTCACAAAGAGTACTATAATTTAGAAGCTAAGCCAAATAGATGAACATTGGAAAAGTAGAAGTACTTGTAGAAAGGCCATCCAAACAACAGAGGCACTGAAGATATAAGATGAAAACATGTCCTGTGGACAGCCATACAGAATTACTTGTGAATCAATTTTCATGTATGCGTCCAAGCAATAAACAAAATCAATCTGTACAGAGAAAATAATACAAATAAGATCACTTGTGTGATGTTGTATATACTCCCTTCTTTCAACTTTCTTTTTCCCCATATGGAGCATTTATCATCTATAAATCCACCTCTGTTTCTTTACAGTGTAACTCCCACAGGACAGTCAATAGAATTTCTCTGAATGTGCATGCAGAAGCTGATGTTAACAAATGTAGATGAATGCATCCTGCACCATTGACATTCCTTTGTCCAAGTGGAACTGCAGAGGAGAAGAACACCAGTATCTGTATGATTAGAATAAATTACCAAGTCTTCTTGAGTCCCAAGAATTTAAACCAAAGATAAGCAATTCCATATATCTAACTTGGTGGAGGTACCGTAGTTGATAGCTTGGAAACATGGATGGCAGTCATATCTGTTGGCAACAAGACATCAAATATATAGAAAGCTTTATTCAGTAAACCCCATCTATAACCAACGCAAGAGAACAAAAAAGAAATTGACTGAAGAGTAGTGATAAAGCAAATCAAAGAAATAAAGAGATGCTCACCTTCTAACAGTAGACAGACTAGAAGTTCATATCTTGCTAGATTTGGCCCAGAAAAGCCCCTTCTTCCTGGAAGGCTGATTCTCTGATGGTGATCTACTCCCCTTTGATCCAAAGGAAAAGTGCCTCCTCATGAAAGGCTTTCCTAAGGAGCTTTTCATGCTTGAACTAGAGGCCTTCCCATCACATCCACTACCTTTCAGACGATCAAACACAATTGAACCACCATCCAGGTCACTATCCACAACCTGTTTCCTTAATCTCTTGTTGTTTCTAGCCTTCATATCCATTTCTGCTTTCAATGCTTTCTCAGACAACTTATGGGTCTTCTTCTCCCCAAAAGTGCAAACTGGGCAAGCAGGGTCATATTTGTCAATCTCAGGCGTCATATTCTCCAAACATTCAGCATGGTAAACATGCCCGCAAGTTAGAACAGCAACAACATTAAGCTCGTTGGTTATAATGATCTTCTGGCTACTCCAAGGAGATTTCTCAGACAGCAGCTTTGAGCAAACACCACAGGTTTGCAGATCAACAGAAGGAGATACAGAGGTTTGGCCACTAGATCTGCTTTGCTTGTCACGAGCAGAGCCCCATGATTCATTATCAAAGGACCGCCTTTCCTTACGAGACGTGGCCATGAGTTCAGAGAAGGCATGCATTGACCAACTGTCTGAAGAACCACCTCGTGAGCCCCTAGATGACTCATTGCTCCCTGAAGGCATCGTTAGCTGTTCATCAGCAGCAAAAGAATGTCTGTCAGGAGATTTCAAACCTGTCCTTGGAATTCCATTATCGGATGCTTGCCGCAAGAGATGATGTCCTGGAGATCGGAGAGGCCACCGTGATGTCGTTGAACTGGCTGGATACATGCGACCTTGGGGTGACAATGAGGATGTTGTCAAGGATGAATTCAAAGGCAGAGAAAGTGATAATTTTGAAGGAGATGGATATGAGACAACCAGAGATTCTGTTGGCTCCTTCACCTGAAGTGTGATGCGGATTTGAAACCAGAGTCAAGTCAACAGAAAAGGAGTATCATATCAAAAAATTTTAATCAGAAAACTGTATCATAGAAAACAACCTTACCTGTTCTATATCTGCATCCATGGATATATTTCTTGAAATTGACCGGTCTGCATTATAGAGATAAATAGATATGTCATATACAACACCTCATGAAGACCTTTCTATCATATAAATATAAAAAATGAAATAAAATGAATAGAGCTCAGACACACCAATATTTAACAAAAATAAGGATGCTACTTTCTTCCACCAACAAATGTGGCGAGAAATTTATTCTAAAGCAAATGAAAGTTCAAAAAGAACCAGGGAGAGATATAGTAAGATATACAGCTGTAGTCAAGACTATACTTGCCAAATAATACTAGTAGAATAAAAAAAGAAGCAAATGATGTCTCAAATTACACAATGACCCAAAACATTGCAGAAACAGATATTTGCAAATTCTAACATTAAGGCTTCACAGCATCGGGCTATTTTCATTCTCTTATATCCGATACAAGAAATAACAAGCAAAAACAATTTCTTGCAAATGATTTCAGGATGTTCTATCACAAAAACTATAAACTTCATACCAGAGTATTGAAACCTTAACTTTTTATGTATTGAAAAATTTGTTAGAGAAGCCAACTAATATCCTTGGGCTGCTGTACAAGCCTTGTAATATCCTATTCACACTTTTACAAAAAATTATAGACTATAGTTTCTATCAAAAAAAAAAAAAAAGAAGAAGAAGAAGGAAGACTATATGGATCAAGGAACCTCTTTGTGTATAAAACTTATGTGTGACTATCAAAACTGGACTGAGAATCTCCACTGTGCTCACCCACCAACAACTATGAAGAAGTTGAAGGTTGAAAAAGGAGAACCATGGAGGAAAAAATGGATAAGGAGAAAGCCTCATAGAAATGAACCATGGGAGACAAAGGGGTGAAAGAGTGGATTAACATTTATTCCTTTAGATGCATGCTAAAACATGGGTGAAAGAAAATCTTATTGCAAGATGAGCTGGCCCCAAACCCCACAAAGAACAAGTTTACAGTAACCCATGCATAGAGTCTAACAATGAGAAATATATTATCATCATAAGCAATAAGATCAACCTTTCTAAAAATTTTCTTGACCATATTAAGCAAAATGCTAATAAACTTGGTAGACCTGGCACAAACAAGGAAGGTATAGATCGCTCAAAAGGGGAAAAAAAATCTGAATTCTAATCCATAGCCCCACAGATGATTGCACAAATAAACCAATGTTTACCACCATAGGCTAATCCTATCACATATACAAACACACACATACATTTTACTTTTGGTGCAACACAAGTACATGACTTGGCATCACTTTCCAGAGAATATAAGACATTGCAACCTAAATGATTAAGTGTAGTAATAACCTAAATAGGACTTACATTCAAGCAACTTATATCTTTCCATTTTTTATCTTTTTCCCCATTCTTATGCTTTTTCCATTGATCTTCTTTTATCTTCATAACAAGTTATCATCCTAATCCAGTGTAACAGCACAAGGTGATTCATTGTTCAAAACTAACTTCAACATATTGGCATTATGTTACTCTCAGAATTAAAGACCTTTATCCAAGAAGTTTACCTGAAGCAGGGGTTCTCACTGGTCCTGTAGCTCCATCTGAAGTTGTGGACTTATGCCATATATGGGACTGGAAACTTTCTGATGGGCTTCCATCCTCAGATGCAAATGCAGATCCATATTTGATCTCTGACCCACCATTTCGGCTAATCCCATCTGAAAACCAACTTATAGAAGTATCTTCACCTGCTACACGCCCTCTACTACTATCCCACCGAAAGCTCCAACTAGGTGAATGCCTAATATTCCTGTTCAACACTTCACCACCTGATGCACTCACTATATTTTTGTCTCTAGCAGCAACACAGCAAGCAGACCCCATTCTCAAACACACAATTCAATCTTCCAACACTATCCCCACAATCATCACCACATTCTAAAAACCTCAATCACTGCAGACAATCCAATCAGTATTACTCCAAATAGCAAACCTCAGATAGACTTGTTCCTTCCTGCAAATTAATAATTGCACAATAACTCACCCAGAAATTAAAATAAATAAAAATCATAGCTACTTTTCCCTCCTTTTCAGGAGTCATACATAAGTTAATGCTCGATTCAAACCAAACTTAAACTAACCAAATCAATTAAATAAATTAAAAAATAAAAACATTCAAGCCCAAAACAATAAGTACAGATAGTTAAATGAACTCTGATCAGTTCAAACCTGAATTCTTACATAAAATAAATCTGTTTTTCATCTTCCAGAAACACTCACTATTTCACACCAAACCACTGAAAGCAGAGAAAATCAATTCACTTAAATAACAAAGATGATAGAGAAAGACGAAGCACCGATTCATTCTGCTAGTATTAGTAACAGTCAGTCTAAATTAGAAAAAGGAAAAAAATCAAACAAGAAACCCTAAATATAGTAAAATCGGAAAAGATTACAAAGAGGTCAAAAGAGATCCGAAATCATGCCTAAAAATTAGTAATTAAGCTCAGAGTAACAACGAAAATAAACAAATCAAACTCATACATTCATGATTCTAAAATAGGAAAAATAAATTAAAGAAATAATAAAAACTACAAACAACATCGTCAAGGAAAAAACTCGACGTATGCAAACACCGGAATGCTAGAGGTACACGATGGAGCCGTACCTTTCGTAACCGGACGACGGCGGCGGCAGGAGAGAAAGCGAGTTCTCTACGGAGCAGAGGAGAGGAGTGGGAGGAGGAACGCTACGGTGCAGAGAGAAAAGAGAGGGAGAAGGCTCAAAAGGGAGTGGGAGCTCGTTTTAGACGGATTTAGTAAGGCCGTGAGAATCTGTTTGGTGATTTGAGAGGAGTTCGTCGCCGTTAGACTAGACGGCGTGTGTTTTGTATGGAGTAGTACGATTGGAGTCAATTATTCGGTGCAGAGCAGGTTTGTACTTTGGACCGCGGGAGTATTTAGTTCTTTTCGATGTAAGGGGGAAGAAAAAAAAAGATTAGGACGGTGTATAGTTGGGCAACTTTTTCTCCTATATATATATATATATATATATATTTATAAGGTAAT